GTAGTGGGTACTCAACCATTCTGGGCGCAGGGCATCCTCACCAAGGTCCGACAGGGACCGCACCAGGACTCCAGCAAGGGAGCCTGCGACCAGCTCTGGAGGCACGAAAGGGTGCGAAGGCCAAAGCAAAAGGGAAGGGCAAGAACCCAGCTTCGGACCCCTGTAATCCTGACCATCCTGAGGCCCGCCTGCCGGGACCTCATGGACTTGCCCTTTTCTTTTCCCTTCTCCTCAACTCCCTTTGGACGGCTGCGGCGGTTTTGCCTCACCTTTTCTGCTGCGTCAGGGTAGTCGAGGTCCAAGTACGTCTAGGGACCTGTTGGCCTCCTCAAGCTCTGTGCTCCAGCTCAACTCCGTGTCGGCGCCTTTGGTGACACCACGGACCAGGTCCTTCATCCAGCTCCTCTTTGAATTTGGGTCTTGCTTTTGATTTGGGCTTGCTCTTGGCCTGGAGGGCCTGATCTGCCTCAGCTTTTCCAAGCTCGGCAGCCTTCTTGGCTTCAAGGTCCTCTCTTGCCTTTTCCAAGGCTTTTTTGGATGCCTCTACATCCACTCTGGGGCCAGTTTTGCCCCTGGAGAGGCTTCTCTGCCNNTCAGTCTGCTGGTAGGTCACGTCGTCACTTGGCCCGGCGCTTGAGCTCCCGGGCTGGTCAGCCTGAGGCGGCGTCTTGGGCGCCTTGACCTCAGCAGCTCGCTCTGTCACGGAGTGCGGCTCCTTCTTCACCTCTGCAGGCTTAGCCTCTGCGGGCTTGCCCTTGACCTTTGGAGTCGGCTTGGCAAAGGCCCGCGGCGCTTGCTTGGCCGCAGGTCCCGCCTTGGTCGGCGCCTTGAACGTAGCCCCGGCTTCAAGCTTTGCGGTCCCAGCCAGCTCCACTGCAGGCTTGGGCTCGGCCTGCACTGGTGCATTGTTGAAGTGCCCCCTGACCGGTCACTTGCTGCGCCCGCACTGCTTGTGGCGCCAGCCCCACCGGCCTTTGAGGCTTTAAGCTCTTTAGCGTTTTCCTTCCAAAACGCAAACCATTGCCTTCTCTCTGGCACCGGGGGCTTCCCA